AAAGTTGGCACCAAAACTAAGGTTTTTTCACACAGAAAAAACCCAAGTTTTCTTCTCTTACAAGAAATCTCTCAAATCATGATTTATCATTATCAAACTCATGGATTGAACATATCTTGATGAAATTTGGCTTGGAATCTCTAATTTGAACAAAAAAACCTAAAAGTCAAAGAGTTGACTTTGTCAAATGAATTTTGAACAAATGACTTCAACTATGTGATCTTCAATAGAATTGCATCTTGAAACTTCTCAAAACATTATAAGTAGGCTTCAATGATGTGTATGAACATGTTGAATCATGTCCCAAGACTTGGCATCATGTTTCAATCAAAAGTCAAAGGCACAATTGACTTTTCCTGATAAAAACCCTAATTTGGGGCCAGATGAAATTGGGCTTCAATTGACTTGTAGTGAGATCAATTGGAACTTGATTCTTGTTGAACATGAGCTTCTTGAATGTATGGGGACTTGACTTGGTGATGATCAATCTAAAACATTGACTAATCAAGCAACAATCCTCTTGATTCCATAGGTGCAAAACCCTAATTCAGATGAATTTAACAACAACAAACTTGAAACAAGGTTAAGGTTAGGAAACAATGCTTGATGTTCCTAGAATGGTTATGTAATTTAGGGGTTAAAATTTAGGGTATGACAAGATGTAAGACAAAGAAGATTCTGTTTGTACTTACATGTATGATCTTATAGAAATATGAGTATTATAATGTATCTGCTACAGATATCAAGGAAAGAAGCATAGGCATTTTCCATAAGGTTGTTTACAACATTTATGGAAGAAGAGCCAACAACCCAAATACAAGTACTGGTGGTACTGAATTTGGTGAGAGTAGTGCAATTAATGGTTAGACAACCATTGAATAAAAATCCACTCAAAGATGTGCTCAGACTCAATTGGTCAAGTCTGAATACTGAATCGAGTCTGGCCAAGCACAAAAAAATGGTATACTTGTTCTTTTCTGGCTTATCTTTTAATTCAATGAAACATTTGAATAGATATAAATACAAAGTTTTTGTTAGACTTCTAGAGAGGTTCTTTTGTAAAGAAGGACTTCATAAATCTTTATGAGGAAAATCTATTGTGTTTGTCTATACTGAATGTCTTATTAAGCCAGATGATTGTCACATTTATGAAAACAATTTTCTCACTTTTGTGTTGATATTATTGCTTGTTAGCTATCTAAAGAAGACAATTTAGTATTCATCTATCACTTATGACTCTTGTTTCAAGATAAAGTGCTAGTACTGAATAGAACCTTAGAGACTTGTGATTGATAGATGATATCTCTGTCTAAGTCTAGAATTACTAGACTCTGATGGTTGATAGCTTCTAAAAGTTGTCAGTTTCTGAGATTCAGAAGAAGATTCCTTTTGACTATCATAGTAGTTTAAGTAAACAGATTTCTAAAAGCTTTTATAATACTTACCATTTCATAAAGGTGAAACTCATCTAGTAGAATTGAAATATATGCTGGATAAAGAACCTTTGGGTAATGATGTTTTCTCTTTGAGTACTTGCTATTACTATTCCCTGTCTTGTGAAACATCCTTGTGTCCTTTTTTTTAGGAAGATTCTTATTCTTGTAAGATTCTTGTTCAGTTCTTCTTCTACTTTTTCTTCTTCTCTTCTTCTTGGTTATGTATTGATCAAACCAAACCTGAGATGAGTTCTTCAGTTCATTGCCTTTTGAATCAGCTGGCTGTCATCAATGAAAAGTTTATGGATTTTAATGAGTTTCTTAAGATTGGTTTCAAATTCTAGAAGACTGTGTACGAACAAAGGTGGAATGGCTACTTTGAAATGCTCTATGGTTTCACTTATACAAGTCTTGTCAAAGAGTTTTGGATCAAGGACTCCATTGTTGAGTTGAGTTCTAAGTATGTTATTCTATCTAGAGTAATTGGTGTTTCTATTACAGTAACCTCTAAAGTGATTGCAAATGTGATTACCTGTGAGGAGATTAGAGAAATCCCAGAAACTCTTGTTTGGGAACATTATATTCCTACTTGGTGTATCTTTGTAGATCCATCTAAACATCAATGGTTTTAAATCGTTTTCCTGATGCTGTTGTTTGGAGTCAAATTTTGAATTCAAACTTACTGCCTAAGGATAAAAATTTAGACCAAGTGAACCCTATTGAAAAAAATATACTTCTGCTTCTTAATTTAGATTTGAAGATTGATCTTCCTCAAGTTATGATTAACCATCTGAAAAAGGTATATTTCTTCTTTTCAAAAGGGAAAGACCTTCTTCATTCCTTATGCACGAGTTATTTTTGAAATACTTGTTCAGCAAAGGGTTAACGTAAGTTCTGATGCTAGTTCTTCCAGGATTTGGAGAGACAAGTTTCAAGCTATCTATAAAAAATTCTGATGTTAGATTTCTGCATAATTAAGCTTTGTATTATTGTTGAAATCTTTGTATTAAGAATCTTATTAATAAATTTAGAGTTTCTTCATGCTTGTGTTCAGTTTTAACTGATTAATATTTATTCTTGTTATTCACTGAGAATCTGAAATAGATAAAAGAACTTAAATTTTTGCAACTCAATTTATTAATAAAAAGGAAGCATTACAAGACAATTAGATTTTTCTAGTCTAAAGGATGTGTCCTAAGGAACTCCCTAGGATCATCTGACATATCTAGATTGTCTAAAAAAATCCTACCATTCTTCCTTAGCAAAATCCAAAGCCTCTTTTCTCAGTTTGTTTTTGTGTCTGGATCCAGAAGATTTTCTTCTTCTGCGTGTCTTCACAAAGGATGCTAAAGAGGATAGCACTCCTGAGTTGTATGCTTGCTTGCAGTTTCTTCAGCTGCTGCCTTGCTTTGATTTCTTGAGCTGCTGCATTCAGTAGAGCTGACTACCTAAAATCTCTCTTTGGAACCCAAATTTGCTTTTGCTTATACATCTTGGTGTTTTAGGATTTAAGTGATGATGGAAGAAAGCTTTCTAGAGTCCTTTTATAGACGTGTTACATTCATTGTCTTGAGTTTAATATTATTCAAGTACTGATTAAATTTTATCAATATTTTGAATAACTATGAGTTTATGTTTGATATGTTTTAACTGTCGTTTCTGTGTCAGTTTCACTTTGATAGTGTATCTTCAGAAAATCTAAAGAAATTTCTGGAATGGATATGCATGCTAAAGTAGTATTGGCCAAAAAACTTTTTCATTAATTAAGGTGATGGCTTATAATTTTTTTAACAAAAAAAAGGGTACAGGATGATTTCTAGAATTGATCCCTAATCATTGCATCTCGTGCACAGCAGTGTCCACTTTTGTCATAGTCTACCTCCTCATCTTCAGAATCAATCACTTCTTCCTCTTCTATGTCAAGAAGAGAGCGGTAGAACTTCTTGTTGACCCTCTTTTTCTTCCTTGACCTCTTCATGCTTCTTCTCCTTGACTTCAAGATAGCTACTGTTGAATTTCCTTCTGAAGGTCGTTCAGGTGCTGCTGAAGTAGCCTCTTCAGAAGCAAGTTGTGTTGAGGGCAATGGCGCAGTTGTAAAGTACTCAGAAACATATCGCTTGTAAGGGAATTGGATTTTAATGCTTGTAAAGCTCACAGTTGCGTCAGTTATGAAAGATGCATTATGACTCTCAATTGCTGATTCCATATCCTTAGGTTGGTGATTGATGAAAATGACTTAGGAGCTGGAAGTTTTTATAATGACTTTTGTGGATACCAAAAGTCTAAAATTAATCCTTGTTTAATTCATGGAAGAGTAACGACCACTAAGACTTCAAAGCATGTACTTTACAAACCTTAATGAATCTTATTACTTGATTACTCTTCCTCTTTAGAAACTGATCATGTAATGATGATCTAAGTTACATTATTTAGTGATATTTTTTCTCTTTTATTAATTTTCTTCTATTCTTTTTGATGTGACAAAGGGGGGAGAAATGATTAAGTATTTAAGTAGAAATTGAACCCATTGAATACTTGTCCTGTACATATTGGTCATTTATTTTCTTGTCATTTATTTTCTGTTTCTATGGTTACTTTGCCCAGGGCGTATTTTTAACTTTCTTGTACATAGGTTCAAGGAAGAGATTACAAACTTCAAACTTAGCCTATCAGACCCAAACTTTCTTGTACCTAAAAAGTATTTAGGTATAGTTGTTAAATTCAAATTTAGAAACATTTAAATTTAAATTTAAATACGATGTAGCTGTAATTTTGAATGTCATCTCATTATTTCTCAAAAGACAACCATATAATATTTAGGTATAGTTGTTAAATTCAATGTAAAAATAACATATCTCTTTTTCTTTTTGCAAAAATCACGTTGCATTGTCGTGTAGGTCACAGTCCGTACATTTTTAGGCTATAATGTTAAATTTTTTATTAATTGACTTCTTATTTTCTTACTATTTTTTGTGTTGACTCATGAAATAAACTTTTTATAAGTATATTCAATTTTAGTCAAAATGAAAATAAAATACTTAATATATTTTGTATTTACTTTATTATTTCATCTTTGAAAATACGAAATAAAAAATAATTTATTCTTATTAAAGAAAATAAAACATTTAGTATGCATATCACCTTTATTTACGGTTTCATTTTGATAAAATTTTTAAATATATATAAAAAAATGGAATAAATTATTGGGGTCTCTTGATTGTGCCACCATTACTGGTATCATCAAGTACTTCCATCCTTCGTGAATGGCCCCTTCATATTATGATGAGCACGGAAGGTCTTACCAGACCAAGTGTATGGAGTGAATGGTCTAAAGCCTTGGAATGGTCAACACGCACAAGCTTCAATTTCAAGTGGATAACAGGATAACTAAACGAGCACACATATTCTGAACTTTTCAATTGAATTTTCAACGCCTTTTATCCTACTTGTTTACGTGTTTATATACACAACATTCCACTCACCACAAAAACACATTTCAATATTCACTTCCTTTCAAACTCTTTTATCAAAATTGTACCAATTTCATAATTTTTCAGCAGCTATATGGCACAACAGCAACCCCGCAGCCGTAGCAGAAGATGCTGTTGCTGCCTCTTCAGCATAATTTGGAAGCTTATCATATCAATAGTTTTCATTGTTGCTCTTATATTCCTCGTCTTATTCCTCATACTCCAACCACGATCCTTCAAATTCAGTGTCAAAGAAGCCAAACTCATCCAATTCAACTACACCACCAATACAAACACCCTCCGTTACAACCTTGTGCTCAACTTCACGGCAAGTAATCCAAACAAAAAATTCAACATCTACTATGATGCAATGAATGGACATGTATTCTATGAAGGAACAAGGTTCGCTTCAACCGACACTATAACGGGGTTAAATTTCCGTCAATACACGAAGAGCATGAATCCAATGAGCGGTGTTTTTTCTGGGCAACGTGTTGTGGTTTTTGACCATGATCAGGTTTCTAAATTTGAAAGCGACGAGAAAAAAAAGATTTTTCATATTGATGTGAAATTAAACTTTACGATTAGGTTTAGGCTTGGGGATTATATTTTTCCATATATTAAGGGCAACATTAAATGTGGGATTGATGTTCCTTTTGGTTCTAATGGTACTAAGCTTATGAATGCATTTGAACCCACCACATGTGAAGTTAATTTTTAAGGGTAATTGTGTCTCACGGATCACTTGTTGAATGAACATTTTTGTTTTTTTGTAAATTTTGGATTCATTATACATGTTCATAGATTGTGCCATTCTTTATTCATGTAGTTACGGACTTTGAATTTTATACGTGTTTCAGTTGAATGATAAATTTTATTTTGGATTCTATATGTGTTTCAATAGAATGATAAATTCAACAAAGTTTGTTTTTTAAATGATCATGTGATGGATGAACTCGGTCTCTAATGTTTTTGTTCTTTAACTAAATTAAATAAATTTAAATATGGGCGTAGAAGATTGAATTATTAACTTAGGAAATATATAAAGCTAAAATACAAAAATAAATAATTTAAATAATTTATTTAGTCGAATGCATGCTACTTAAATTTTAGAGTGTGATATTTATAAACATGACTATCTTACTAGCCATAACATCGACATATAGAAAATGATGCATTATTTGGCTAATTTCACATATAGCGTGTGATTCTTCCCATTGTTTGTGCAATACGCGACGTCCCACATTCAGCTATTTCTTTGCGCTCCTTAGCATATGTTTGTTGAATATGTCCACATACAACTCCCTTCTGGTTCCATTATTTTTGCTTCTTTAGTTAGTAGTGCTAACAAAGATAAAGCCCTTGTCATCATTGTTGAAACAATAAGGAATTAGGATTTTCAAGAATATATATATATATATATATATATATATATATATATATATATATATATATATATATATATATATATATATATATATATATATATATATAATTTTTTTTTTTTTTTTTGCTTCTTTAGATAGTAGTGCTAACAAAGATAAAGCCCTTGTCATCATTGTTGAAACAATAAGGAATTAGGATTTTCAAGAATATATATATATATATATATATATATATATATATATATATATATATATATATATATATATATATATATATATATATATATATATATATATATATATATATATATATATATATATATATATATATATATATATATATATATATATATATATATATATATATATATATATATATATATATATATATATATATATATATATATATATATATATATATATATATATATATATATATATATATATATATTTTGTTAGATAATCCTTCAATGTCGAATGGATTCAGACTGAATCGTGAACGAAATCACTTTCTTTAAAAGTATTTCAAGCACACTCTCAAATTGTCTTAGAGTTGGAGCGGCCTGAATACTCAGGATAAGTCAGCCTTTTTCTCGAAACTGCACAAGACTGGTGAAGTTTCGAATGCAAGGAAAACATTTGGAATTATATAGAAGAGGATATCAGATATTGGAGTATTTAATTTTGAATTATCAAGCATATATTTATAGCCATGCATGTGTCTTTTCAGAAGTTTGCAATTCTTCATAAACACACTCTCTAATGAGCATTTGCAATGGTTCAAATAAAATGTCATGCACCACTTCATGAAGTGTCATATATTTCGAATTCAAATTCAAAAATCAAACTCTAGGCAACGAATGAAATCCAGAGCGCCACCGACGCCGCCTCATTAACGTCGCGAATAGCCCGATTGCTCAAGTGCCGTCTACAAGCCGCCACTAGCGGCTCTACGCCCACGCCCTCGGATCCGGTTCCAGTTCCGGAGCCGGAGCCGGTGTCGCCGGTGGCGACACCGGCGAGGGGTGTTTTGTATGAGACAAGTGACATAAGTTTTGGCACCACCACATATGACTATGTGGCACTTTATCCTCTTTGGCTCCTTTGGAAATTACATTGTTCCAAGTGCCTTATAAATGCTTTTTAATTTTACTCCACTTCCAATGTGGGACTAAGCATTTATTGTCAATTAACTATAACACCCACTTTGTCATTTTGGAACAACTTTAATGGAAATAAATTATTATTTCCAACAATCCCCCACTTGTTCTAATAATGACAAAATAATAATTCCAGAAATGGGACATAAGAAGTATTAATACAGTTAAGTATCTTTCGATTTTAAACTTAACCTTAGTAAGGATAACACAAGGTTTAACCAGAATATTAGGTAGCAATGCTTTTAAACCATGAATCCATATGAATAGACCGGTGTTACCTTACACACACTCCTTAAAGATTCTTCCTCTGCATAACTCGCTTAGCACTTATTTATGGCCATGTGCTATCCTATTTCATGAATTTTTTCATGAGAGAAACTCCAACTCTCACTTTGAGACGGCACCATCTCATAATTCACATAGGTGAAGTTCATATAGTATCTGTTTCCAATATATACGTACCCTCGGTATTGAACTTCATTAAGAGTTTAAAATAAAACTCAACCCTCATTTCTAATGTCAACATAATTATGAAATGTTAGACAATTATCCAAATCAACGACTTGTTATTACCCATTGAAAATCTTAACGTTAATGTTCTGTTAACTTAAGATTGGGTTGCCGCCGTTGTCGGAACTCTTACTCAAGGAGTTTCAACCCCATACCTCTCGAGGTTGTTCTTACTAAGTCTCTGGCCAGTGGCTTAGTAAACGGATCAGCCAAATTATAGCTTGTTCGTATATACGTAAGTGAAATGATTCCATCCTTAATCAGTTTTCTCACGAACGAATGTCTAAGTCCTATATGCCTGGACTTTCCATTATACACTTCGCTAAATGCTCTTGCCAAAGTGGCCTGACTATCGCAGTGTATCATTACCTTTGAAACATTGTCTTTAGCCAATGGAACTTCCAAAATAAGATCCCTCAACCACTCTGCCTCTTGACTAGCGGAAGCGAGAGCCACGAACTCTGATTCCATGGTCGAAAGAGTAATGCATGTTTGTTTCTTGCTCTTCCAAGAAATTGCTCCTCCAGCTAGTGTAAATATCCACCCAGTTGTAGATTTGTGATCTCCCACGTTAGAGATCCAACTGGAATCAGTATATCCTTCTAATATAGCAGGAAACCTACCATAATGAAAGCCAAGATCTTTGGTTTTCAACAAATAACCAAATATCCTCGTGATTGCCTTCCAATGTTCATTACTTGGATTACTAGTAAATCTACTCATTTTACTAACTGCAAATGATATATCGGGTCTAGTACATTGCATTAAGTACATAAGACATCCGATCGCACTTGCATATTCTAATTGAGCCACTGCTCTTCCATCATTCTTTTCAAGTTTGATTACATGATCAAATGGAGTAGTTACTTCCTTGAATTTCAGGTGTTTGAACTTATCAAGCATTTTCTCAATATAATGTGTTTGATTAAGTTCATAACCCCCACTATTTTGCTTAACTTTTATTCCTAAAATTGTGTCAACAAGCCCAAGATCTTTCATCTTGAAAGTGGAAGTTAGAAACCTTTTTGTTTCTAAAATTCCATTAAGTTTATTGCTAATTATTAGCATGTCATCAACATAAAGACACAAAAATATTACAGTGTTATTATACACTTTTGTATATAAACACTTGTCACAAGAATTAGGAATAAATCCATTTGACATTATCGTAGAGTCAAACTTTTGATGCCATTGTTTTGGTGCTTGTTTTAAGCCATATAGAGATTTGACAAGTTTGCACACCTTCTGTTCATTTCCAGGAAGGACGTATCCTTCTGGTTGTTCCATGTAGATTTCCTCATCGAGGTCTCCGTTTAGGAATGCTGTCTTAACATCCATTTGATGAACAGTCAGATCATTTAAAGATGCTAAAGCAAATAACAACCTTATAGTGGTTGTTCTTGCTACAGGTGCATAAGTGTCAAAATAATCTATACCTTCCTTTTGTCTAAATCCTTTTGCCACTAATCTTGCTTTATAAGTGTTTAATGTACCATCACTATGATATTTCTTTTTAAACACCCACTTGCATCCAATGGGTCTTGATCCCTTTGGTAAATCAACAAGTTCCCAAGTGTGGTTGGACATAATTGACTCCATTTCATCTCGGATAGCATCTTTCCAAAAAGAGGAGTCTCTTGAAGCTATTGCTTCCTTATAAGTTTTAGGATTTTCCCCTACTTGAAGAATTACCGAAATGCTTTTAATAAAATTTGTACTATTTCCTTCAACCAGATAAAATGAAATGGATTGAGAATCAATTTCGTCTGGTCCTAGGTTCTTTATTTTCCGGACTCTTTTGCTTATCCTAGGTTCGGGTCGTGGTTCATTGATTCGAGATGTGCCTTCAGGTTGTATTTCTACAATCCGAGAAGAGTCTTTTTCACAAGATTCTTTATTTATGGCCGACTCTGATTCTTTATCCTTAGTTATAAGTTTTTCAAAGAATTCTACATCCCGAGATTCAACAATAATATTAGACTCTAAATTTAAAAGTCTATATGCTTTGCTATTTTGTGCATATCCTACAAAGGCACATCTTATCCCTCGAGGACCCAACTTGGTTCTCTTAGGATCCATGTTTTTGTAATATGCCACACACCCCCACACCTTAAAATAGCCAATATTTGGTGCCATGCCCTTCCATACCTCATATGGAGAAATTCCACTTTTCTTTAAGGGAATTCTATTTATTATGTGACAAGCGGATAATAAGGCTTCGCCCCACAAATTGAAAGGTAGTTCGGAATGCAATAACATGGCATTCATCATTTCCTGATATGTTCGATTCTTTCTTTCTGCTATGCCATTTTGTTGTGGTGTTCTAGGTGCCGAACATTCATGTATTATACCGTGTTCTTCACAAAATGCATCAAATTCAGTAGAAAAGTATTCACCGCCCCTATCACTCCTAAGGACTTTTATACTTCTACTTAATTGATTTTCCACTTCTGCTTTGTAACTCTTAAAGGCATTAAAAGCCTCATCTTTATGCTTTAAGAGATATACATAAGTGTATCTAGAACAATCATCAACAAATGTAATGAAATATTTATTTCCCCCACGGGTCAACATGCCATTAGATTCGCACAAATCTGAATGTACAAGATCAAGCAGATTTGTATTTCTTTCAACACTTTTGAAAGGTTTCTTAGTCATTTTTGATT